GCATGGTTAAACGACGTACTGCTGTTATCACTTAGGGTGTACTCTCTTTTGTTGCCAGCTATTCTGACAATGATGGCTGTATGTTGAGTTATTTTCAGAGGACAGTAAATATATACTGCTCTACAAGCAGCACATTGACTACTCTAAAATATATCCAAGTTTCATTTCTATAGTATTGTCCCTTGAGAAGATATACTAAAATGTTTGCTAAAATGTGAGGGGTGTACTCACTTTTGTGAGATACTGTATATACATATACATACATGTAAGATATATATATATATATATATATATATATATATATATATATATATATATATATATATATATATATATATATATATAAAAAATATATATATATACACACATTATATAAGCAAAACTTTTATGTTAGATGCGATTAGTCACGATTAATCGAATTGACAGCCCCAATATGCATGTGTGTATATATATATATATACACAGATAGTCATCTTGATAACTTTTTTTCAGTCTTACATTCTTGAATATGAAGTTTTTGGTCTCTAATCTTGCAGCGAAGTGACATTGCTGTTCCTAAATATCCTGTCACAACATATATGAGTGATAAATGTGTTTATCTTAAGGCGTTGGAGATGAAGTACTCGGAGGGAAAGTTTGATGCAAGCCTCCACCTGAGAACGCAGGTAGATCAGCTGACCGGCCGCAATGAGGAGCTACGCCAGGAGTTGAAGGCTGCGAGAGAGGAGGCAGCAAACACCCTCTATCAGTTAACGAAAGCTAATGAGAAGGTATTACTCAAAATACCAACTCAAGCATTTACTGGATTAAAAAATGGTTTTAAATTCACTGGCACATCCTCTTTTTGTGGTTTTTTTTTTTTTTTTTTTTTAGGTTGCTCACTTGGAAAGTGAGGTTGAAGCAATGAGCAAATCAACTGGCACTTCCATCCCTTACAAGACATTAGCTCTGCCTGAAGAGATGACGCCAACTAGTGTCGAGGTCATCAACGCTCTCAATGAATACATAGTACAACTCCTACAGGTGTGTGTCAGTCCGGTAACTGTATTGTGTTATAATGGAAACCAGATGTAAGGTACATAATATTAAGACTCCCAACTGTGGATGTTCAGGAGATCAAAAACAAAGAAGATTCCATTGAGCAGATAAGTTCAGCTCTGGAAGAGTATAAAAGGAAATTTGCAGTGATGCGCCATCAACAAGGACTTCTATATAAGGAGCATCAAAGGTATGCCAAGCAATAAAGTTCATTTATATTGTAAAATATCATATATATATACACTCACCGGCCACTTTATTAGGTACACCTGTCCAACTGCTCGTTAACACTTAATTTCTAAGCAGCCAATCACATGGCGGCAACTCAGTGCATTTAGGCATGTAGACATGGTCAAGACAATCTCCTGCAGTTCAAACCGAGCATCAGTATGGGGAAGAAAGTTGATTTGAGTGACTTTGAACGTGGCATGATTGTTGGTGCCAGAAGGGCTGGTCTGAGTATTTCAGAAACTGCTAATCTACTGGGATTTTCACGCACAACCATCTCTAGGGTTTACAGAGAATGGTCCGAAAAAGAAAAAACATCCAGTGAGCGGCAGTTCTGTGGGCGGAAATGCCTTGTTGATGCCAGAGGTCAGAGGAGAATGGCCAGACTGGTTCGAGCTGATAGAAGGGCAACAGTGACTGAAATAACCACTCGTTACAACCGAGGTATGCAGCAAAGCATTTGTGAAGCCACAACACGCACAACCTTGAGGCGGATGGGCTACAACAGCAGAAGACTCCACCGGGTACCACTCATCTCCACTACAAATAGGAAAAAGAGGCTACAATTTGCAAGAGCTCACCAAAATTGAACAGTTGAAGACTGGAAAAATGTTGCCTGGTCTGATGAGTCTCGATTTCTGTTGAGACATTCAGATGTTAGAGTCAGAATTTGGCGTAAACAGAATGAGAACATGGAACCATCATGCCTTGTTACCACTGTGCAGGCTGGTGGTGGTGGTGTAATGGTGTGGGGGATGTTTTCCTGGCACACTTTAGGCCCCTTAGTGCCAATTGGGCATCGTTTAAATGCCACGGCCTACCTGAGCATTGTTTCTGACCATGTCCATCCCTTTATGGCCACCATGTACCCATCCTCTGATGGCTACTTCCACCATGTCACAAAGCTCTAATCATTTCAAATTGGTTTCTTGAACATGACAATGAGTTCACTGTACTAAAATGGCCTCCACAGTCACCAGATCTCAACCCAATAGAGCATCTTTGGGATGTGGTGGAACGGGAGATTCGCATCATGGATGTGCAGCCGACAAATCTGCGGCAACTGTGTGATGCCATCATGTCAATATGGACCAAACTCCCTGAGGAATGCTTCCAGCACCTTGTTGAATCTATGCCACGAAGAATTGAGGCAGTTCTGAAGGCAAAAGGGGGTCCAACCCGTTACTAGCATGGGGTACCTAATAAAGTGGCCGGTGAGTGTATATATATATATATAAGGTATGTAGAGCCAAAAAAGATTGTTTATATTATAAAGTATAATATAATGTAATATATATATATATATCAATCATACATATGAATGGTAATCAATAAAGCATTGTTTTAATTCACGGTGTCTGTCTGCTCCAGTGAGAGGGAGTCTTGGCAAAAAGAGATGGACTTTTTTGCAGAACTGAAATCCAAACTTGAGGAGCAAAGAGAGGTGGATGTAGTAAAAATCAAAGAGTACAATGTAAGTCTCTAAAAGACTTTAACAAAGTCACTAAGTTTCTAGTTTGTGTTTGTAATCCTTTAAATGATTCCCATTATCTGTTTGACTCATTTCCAGCACTGGTTAGAGGCTCTTGAAAAGGACCCAAATGAGATCAGACAGCAGCTGGCTGAGACGGCTCGGAAAACCCTGGTTCTCAGGGTCAACGAGAAGTGTCTTACGCGACGTTACACGACTCTGCTTGAGCTCGAGCAACACTTGAGGAAGGAGAACGGCAAACTGAAGGATGATTTCAGACACATGGAGGCCGTGGTAACAGAAAGAATTGGCTACCTGCAGAGGTTCAAGGTATCAGGCAACACTCATACAACTCATACAGATGAAAAAGAAACTTATGAATGATGGGATTTATTAGAGGCCGACTGATATGGGGTTTTTTTTGTGAAGTTTTGGGAAAAGTAAAAAAAAAAAGTACAAATATAAATAAATAAATACCTTAAAGTTATCATTAAGAGAAATTGACATTTATTACAGTTTCTTTCTGCTTACAAATTAAATTAAAATTATTTTAATTGTTTGTAGAATAAAAAAATATATAAACTAAATATTTTGTATATAATATTCTACACATATTTACAATATTTTGTACAGCATACACATATACATATATGGATAGCTACTATTTATATTTTGGGTAGAGAGTCTCTTACAAAGAGAATCATTATATTTGTAGGACCATGGTGTCAAAAAGCTTAAAAAACCCTTATAAAGAGGAGTATGTCTGGCTGAGGAAAATTGACATTTTCATCCTTTATTTGAATATTATTAAAACATTTTGATTGTTGATTTTGATATTGAGTCATGCAAAATTGTAAAGACATATTTTTTTTGTCCAGGATGTCATACAAAGAAAACACATGCAAAAACAAGAGAGAACCAAGAAAATATTAATAGCTTATTATGTTGTAGTCAATGGATACTTTTTCTTGTGAGATTTTTTTCTATGCATTTTTGTTTTGCATAATAAAATAAAGCCTGTAGCTGTAGCTTGCCTTTTTTGACAAATAATTTTGTCAGATACCTTAACCAAGTATAGTGTTTTGTTTTTCCTTAATATTTAAAATATTTAAACAATATAAAATATTTGCCTCATATTTTGATAGTTTAATTAAATTTGTAGGGTCATGTAAAACAAATCTCCCCCTCCAGACATCACTTTTGACCACTACTGTTTATGAATTATAAAACAATGTCAGCAAAATTACTGAAATTAAATAAATACTTTATGAACTCTCAACACAATATTAACAAATAATAATAAAAAAAGTATAAATAATGATTGTATTTTTAATGACAAATTTAGTTGTTTTAGTATTGTTTTGTTGTTTTTCCAAGGCTAGTAGTCATCTTCGCTGAGAGCTGTAACTAACCTCTGCTGACCTCTGTAAACTTGCATTGCCCTCAGGAAATGGCAGCGTTTAAAATAGCCACATTGCAGAAATCCCTTGATGGTAGTGTTACTGCATCAGAGCTGGAGAGAGCCAACAAACAATACACTGAGCTCACCATCAAGTACAGAAACCTCCTACAGAAAGACAATCACCTTGTTCAGAAGACAAACACACTGGAGCACCTAGAGGTACATCTCTTGGCAAATTACGTAAAGCAGTGGAGGTCTTTCTTCATTTTTATTACAGAACTCTCCTTCACTTTCAGAGGGAGAATGTGTCTTTACATGAACGCATTAACTCCATCAATAAAGAGCTTGAGATCAGCAAGGAGAAGCTGCACACATTGGAGCAGGCCTGGGAAAACTTCAACATGACTGGTAGACGTCACTGCTAATTGATTAGACAAAAGCAATGTTGAAGCATTGTCATTGAATAAAAAAAGTTTTCTCTTCAATATCCTAAAGTTGACCTATTTCCCATGATTTCGGGTGTTCACAGGTGGTGAGAACAGCATGGACAAGGCCGCCAAAGCCCTGGCCAACAGCGAGATTGTATCTGTGTCCAGGCGCATCACCATGCTGGAGATGAAGGAGCTCAATGAAAGACAGCGAGCTGAACATGCTCAGAAGATGTACGAGCATCTGAGGAACTCCCTCAAACAGGTGGAAGAGCGCAACTTTGAGCTAGAGACCAAGTTTGCTGAGGTGGGTCTGATTTATCTCTTGCATCCATCACCTAGCATCCATCCCGAATACAACCATATAGAAACATGCCAAAAAACACTTTCAACACCTTAGCTTGAACATTTTATTTTATTTTTTATAAAACACAGTGGCCCTCATTTATCAAAAGTGCGTACACCAAATTTCCAGCGTACACCTGGCGTACACCCAAAACCACGGTGACTTTGAGATTTATCAATATGGACGTTGGCGTACGGCACGCTCAAATCCTACGCCAGCTCAGGAGGTGGTGTACATGTACGCACGTTTTGAGTTAGTGCGGAAATGCCCAGAAAAACAATTGCTAACACCACAAAACGCACTGACAAACTAAAATATATGATATATTATGACCCACTGTAAAACAAAAAAACAACAACATAGTAATTATTAACTTCAGTGTTTATTTTTGTGCAACATGGACTTCAATGTTTAATTTGTGTGACTTTACCAAAGCATTTGATTTGTAAGCATATGTATTCCTTCAGTTGCGAGCCTGTGCGCTTTACCCTGACGTTTCAGGGTTATCCCCGGCAGGTGCGCACGGACTGGGTTCGGTAACGAAAGGCTTTCAATGACCAAAAAATAATTCAGACTGACAAAATAATAAAAAATACATTCTTCTTCTTTTAAATAATAATAATACAAATAATAATAATGACATTCTTCTTCTAAATAACAATAAGCGTCATTAATACAAATCATACTAATAATAAGAAGAATTACAAATTGTCATGCAATTATTAATGTGAATGAATGGTACTCCACATCACATCATCATCATCATCACTATTGTACACCCCAATACATGTAACGTGATTCGAAATTGAATGCTAATTCAAAAGACGTGCTGTAAAATATTGCATTGTGATAGGTAATTTCGGCTCCACGTCAGAGAAGTTTCTCTTCTTTGCCGTCTTCCGTGTGTCCATGGCGTAAAATGAGGGCGTGGGGGAAGCGGAGACATAAATATATAGGGGCGTGCTATTCTAATGACGATCGTTTTCAGCCACGGGATTTATCAAGGGCAGGCATTGCGTACACCTGGATTTCAAAGGTACGCACAGCTTCATAAATCAGGCGGTGAGAGGAGTGTAAGCATAATCTTACACCAACATATACGCCCGTTTCTACGCAAGAATGATAAATGAGGGCCAGTATGCTGAACATTTAATAAGCTTTTAGGTTATTTTAATAAAGCACAGTATGTTGAATATTAAATGTTGAATCATTTTATTTTTTATAAAACACAATATGTTTAACATTAAATAAGTTTTTATGTTAAAACGTTTAATAAGCTTTTGTTTAATTTTAGTAAAACAACTTTTTTTTTTTACAATATGTTGTTCTTTTATAATCTTTAATTTTATTTTTATAAAACACATTATGTTGAACATTAAATAAGCTTTTATTTTATTTTATTTCCTTTTTATAGCTTTTATTTTATTTCATTTTTTTAAAACAGTGTATTGAACATTTAATTCGCTAAATTTAATATTTTGCATATATTTCTGTATGGTGGTGTAGCTCACAAAACTAAACCTGGAGGCTCAGCGGATAGAGCGGGAGCTCAGGGACGAGCTGGCGGACAGTGTAAGCAAACACATCAGCGACGCCGATCGCAAACGAATCACCGAACTGGAGAAAACTGAGGCAGAGCTGCGGATTGAAGTGTCCAAGTAAGCCTGTGGACTCAACCTGTGCACATGCTTGCTATTACAACAGTATCACAGGGCTCTCAAGTGTCACGCATTGAGCGTGACAGTCACTCATTTCGGTCTTTTGTCACGCACCCCCGCCACACATTGTATTTCTCACGCTGAAAAGCGATTTATAATATATTTAATTTGCCGCAACGCACAAAATTTCTCTGGCCGCGCCGCTCTCACTATGCCGGCAGGAATCAAGCGTGTCTCCCCTGGAGTTCTTAGTCGAGCCTGCCACCTATCAGCCAATCAAAAAAAAAAGAAAGGGGCTACTCAATAGCCAATCAGAAAATAGCACTATTGTATCTGGGTAAGATTCAAGAAAAGTCATGATCTCCTGTTTTAATGTTACAAAAAATTCACAACTTGTTTGACACAAACAATGACATCTTGACTGCTGTTGGAGAATGTTTCCCAGATAATTACCATCAGTTTTTCATGAGTGTCTGTAATTTAGCCAACAGTTTTACAGCCTGTTCACTGACAACACCTGCTCAGAACAAGTAGTCTAGGCCTAGTCATATTTTCGTTATCACACGATGACTGACATATTGTCACATTATAAACATCTCTCTCTCCATAAAGGCTTAATAATTTTATAAGCACTAAATAAAATAAAGTGTATTGCATAGTCGATGTTATAGTCACTTTTAAAATTATGTCATATTTTATCATTATATCCTGGCCATGGCCATGGATGCATTAATCATCGCATCTGTCTTTCAAAGATGTCAGGTAAAAAGCAATTAAGCATCCTCTCATTTGCCCTGTCACTCTTGCCTGTCTTTAAAACTTGAGAGCCCTGGTATCATGAGAAAATGCACACAAACATCTGTTTTAAGAGGTTTAAAATGTTTGCAGATTGAGGGAGGTGTCAGATGTCGCTAAAATGCAGGTGTCCGCTCTGGAGGCCAGACAGCAGTCGAGAGAGAAAGAAGTAGAAAGCCTGAGGAGACAGGTGTTGGACTACCAGGTATGTTTTTCTCTTTTCAGCTATGCACCCTTTTGATCACGCCACTAAATGCACATCTCCTCTTCAGGCTCAGTCCGATGAAAAGGCCCTTATCGCCAAACTCCACCAGCACATTGTAGCTCTCCAGTTGAGCGAGACCACAGCAATCAGCCGGCTGGAGGCCACCAACACGCGCCTGCAGAAACTCGAAGCGCAAAAGCTCAGAGTCGAACAGCAGCTGGATGCCCAGCAGCAGACGCTGTGGCACGCAAGGCAGGAGGGACATCAGCGGGCCAGACACCTGCGCCACACCATTCAGGCCCTCCGCAGACAGTTCTCAGGAGCCTTGCCGCTGGCTCAACAGGAGAAGTTTTCCAACACCATGCTCCACCTGCAGGAGGACAGGGCACGGGCCAGGGAGGAAGCGCAAAATGCGGCAGAGGAAAGAAGGAAAGCAGAAGGGAAGGCACAAGAACTGGAGCTAAAGCTGAAGGGGTTGGAGGAGCTCATAGCAACACTGAAAGATGCTAAAGGAGCGCAGAAAGTATGTTGATTGAGTTGTGATGTGATTCTTGAAAACATATTTTCTTATTATATTGAATATATATATATTATTTATAATAATTATTCATATATATTTATATATTATATCTTTTCACTTATATCTTATATCTATTCAACTTAAGTTACTCGTATTAATAAAGGAAATTGTTCCCATAAACAGTAATTTACACTCAGCTGCAGAATTTACAGCTTAATATTAACCCTTACAGGTGATCGAGTGGCATAAGAAACTGGAGGAAGTTCGTCTGTTGGAAATGAGGCAGAGCAGAGAGCTTAATACCCAGCGGGAAGAGATAAAATACTTGAAAAATATTATGGCGGAGCAGGAACGCACCATCAGCGGCCAGGAAGAGGAGCTGGTGCAGCAGAATAATGTCAGTATTTCATTTAAACAAGTTTCTTATCTATTTTTACACTGTATAGAGCATACTTCAATCATGATTTCTAATAATATTTGTTATCCTTGTATCAGCTTCTCGAGGAGCGGCAGCTAATCTGGGATCAGAGAGAGGTGCAACTGGAGCGCCAGCTCGACTCCTATGAGAAACAGCAGAATGAAATCCTAAGCACAGCTCAGAAGGTGGCAGACTTGACAAACATTTGTTTCTGGATAGTGATAAGCTGTTTAATGAACTACACTTTAACTTACACTTAACTTGTCCTGTTTGAGTTTAGTTTGAGGAAGCCACAGGCTCTCTACCGGATCCAAATCAGCCTTTAGCACACCAGTTAGACTACGCTCTCGGAAAAATCAAAGAGCACGTTCGCACCATCCTTGAGACAAAAGCCACCTGCAAAATTCTGGAAGAGGTACTTTTTTATTGTGGAAATTTTACCAATTGCAAACCTTGTTATTGAAGTAAGATTATCTTACAAGGAGTTTCTCTGAGCAGAAGCTGAAGGAAAAAGAAGCTGCTTTGTGGACATCAGAACAGAACGTCTTATCTCGAGACAAAGTGATCAATGAACTGAGGCTTCGCCTACCAGCCGCTGCTGAGAGAGAGAAGCTCCTGGCTGACCTGAGCAAACAAGAGGACTCTGAGAGCCAGCCCACTCTAAAAGTCGCCCACCAGACCATTAATAACTTACAAGGGCGTCTGGATCAGAAAGAAGAGGTTCTCAAGAAGTACCAGAACATGTTAGCAAAGGCTCGTCAGGTGCCTATTTAAGTTAAAAACTGAGGCTTCATAAACTGGTGATCTTTATTGCACAATAAAACGCATAAAAGCATAAAAGCTCATATATCTTGATTTTATATTTTCCCAGGAGCAGGAAGAGATTGGCAAAAGGCATGAGGAAGAGGTCAGGGCTCTGCATCAGAAACTGGACGAGTATATGGACACATCGCTGGACTGTTTCAAACATACGGCTCTGGTACCTAGCGTATTCGTTATAAAGCTCAATTTGGGATAGCGGGCCAGAAAGTAGAAACTAGTGCACATAATAAATATAGTAATGTCATAAATCATGGCTGCTGTCAACTTTAGTAGGCTATACTCAGTTTTATTCTTCTCTAGGAGCTAATGAAGAAACCCACCATCACCGTACCGACCAATAAGCACTTGGTGCGGTTGGCAGAAATGGAGCAGACGGTGGCTGAGCAGGACAATTCGCTCTCCTCACTGACACACAAGCTGAGGGGGGTCATTGCAGAGCTGGACCAACAGAGGCAGCTGGCAGCAGCACAAGCCATGGAACATGCTGCAGAAACTGCCAGGTGAGACATTAAAACAATGGCCAGGAAACTATTTTAACGATTATTTTAAGCGCATGGTCTAAAGCGCACAGCGCAAGTGCACTTAGGTCTGTCCGAATCCACTTTTGCTAGTTTAACGATGGGAAAAATGGTCATGCTATTTACGTGGCGGAATTTGCAAGCGAAAAAACTGGATGCTTCTCCAGAGAGGAAACGGATCTGCTCGTGCGCGCCATCTACGGGACAAGCCGGATTCCACCATCTTTATGTACACAATATTAATCTTTTACATTGTAATCCTTTTATTTTTAATATTTGGCTAGTTTGTGTGCTGCTGCGTGTCCCTTTGTGTGTAATAAGCAGAATGTACGCGCGTTGTGCACCCGCCTATAGGCGCATATTACTAATGCGCCCTTTAAATAACAAAAAGAAATACTGCGCCATTGACTTTAGACCAGGTTTTTGTTGATCAATGGCACAGTCTATTTTAGTTGCCTCCAAATAGCAACGCGTCAACAATGCGCCCGAACACACCTCGTTTTCAGACCTGCACGCCCATGGGCGCACAGATGGGCGCAAATGCATTTGCTATTTAAACAACATGGTGCAGGACGTGAAAATAACTGCGTCGGGCTGAAACTAACAAAAAACACTTGCGTCGCGCCTGGTGCCGCTTTGCGGCGGGTGTGTGAGAGGGCTCAAGGCCAAAAACAATCCCACTTTTTCGATATTGATCAATATCAAGATATTTA